ATTTGTTTTATATTAAATTTTAATATATATCCAATTTTATTTTAATGATATCAAAAACAAAATCATTATGTCAAAAATATGATTAATTTTAGAACAAATTAAATAAAGTTTTAAATCTATTTATTTGTTGATTGCATGTTATTAGAGATGAACGATTGATTGAAATGTTTTTAAATATATACCTTTAAATCTGTACTATTTTTTATTTTGACTCTACGGTTTTTACCATTTCTTCCATCATATATTTTATTTGTTGAGTTTTTTTCTAGAAAATCTGCTAGCAATTGCAAATAAAACTAGCTGTAAGTAGAATTCTGTCTTAAGGCAATTAAGGCATCGTGCCTTGAGGCAAATTGCTGGAACTTCCCGTACCAAAAATTATTATTTTTTTAAAAACGATTAACATTTTTGAAAAAATTTTACTTCGAAAAAATAAGATTTTTTAGAAATTTTAAATTGGACAAAAAATTACTTTTTTTTGAAAATAAAATTTTTGTTAAAAAAAAAATTTTTAAACAATTTTTTTTATAAAAATTTTTTTTGGAAAAAATGTTATCTTCATTTTGATATATTTTGGAAGATCTGAACTTTTTTTCAAAGCAATCGTACTGCTTTAACTGCATAGAGACAAAATATAAAGCGCGTAAGCGCCGCGTCGCTGTCTAACAGAAAAACAATGGTACCGAACCCATAGGAATGTAAACAAAACTTATACTTATTGTAAAAATCTCAATAAAATATCTGATAATTTGATATGCATATGTCTAATGTCTAATGATTATTGTTGACCGCCAAATGTTATTTTTTTTAGTTTTTTTACTAGATCTCCGAAACCGCTATCCTATCTTCATGAAAATTTGATCAAATCTTCATCTTGTTAATACAAGTAAAATGTTTTTTGAACTATACAAATCGAATGCTCCGTTCTCTTAAAAACTAAGTTACCGTTTTTGGCCCTTTTTGCCCCATATCTTCGGAACGGCTAGAATGTTTTTTGAATTATTCAAATTGCTTTATCCGTGTTCCCGAAATCGTCGACGAAAATTGTATCCGAACACACACCATGCACGCACACACACACACATACACACACACATACATCAATTTTCTCCAAGGTATGCCACATATTCAGAAACCTCTGAAACGTGAAGATATATAAAAATTTTCATTTTCGATTTTTTTGCGATTACTTACCCTATGGAAAGTTAATTATAAATAAATCAATTTATGATCTCCAGAACATTAACAATCGTCATTTCATTCGAATCAAATTCCAAAAAAAAATAGTTGCCAAATTTACACAAAATTGAAAAAGTGCTCCCGCATAGTCACAGTCTAAACGCATTTGCAAATAATTCTGTGCGACATTTTCACTTATACTGTGCTCAGTTTGGCGGCATTTTCACATTTTTCAATAATTTTCACAAAATTGGAAAAGTGCTCCAGTACACAAACAGTCTAAACGCACTTGCGTAAACATTTCTACCAGAGTGGCGCTTAGACTGTGCTTAGCTTGGGTGATTTTTTGAATTTTTAGTCCAAAATTACAGAAAAATTTTTTTGAAAAAAAATTAGAAACAAAAAAATTTTTTTTTCCAAAATCAATTGTTTTGTTGAAAAAAGCAGAAAGTCTTTGAATCATTTAAATCGGACGCTAGTTCTCTCAAAAACAGCCATTTTTTTTTAAATTTAGCTCTGTAACTCCGAAACCTCTGGGCCTACCTTTGCCAAAAACTAATCAGCACATCTCCCTATCAATAGGAATCGAATGTTTTTTAAACCATTCAAATCGGTTGATCCGTTCTCTCAAAAAATTCGCTTTCTATTTTTTGCACTCTTTGCTCCATATCTCCGTAACGGCTGGACCTGCCTTTGCCAAAAACTAATCAGCACATCTCCCTATCAATAGGAATCGAATGTTTTTTAAACCATTCAAATCGGTTGATCCGTGCGCCCGAAAACGTGGACGAAAAAACGCGGACATACAAAACACACACACACACACACACACACACACACATCATTTTTTCTGAGGTATGCCAAAATGTTCAGAAAACCTTCAAAACGTCGAGAAATGTAAAAATTTTTGATTTCGATTTTTGGACGATTTCTATAACTTACCTACGGGAAGTTAAAAAATACAGTACTCACAAACCAAAGCACTGATTGATTTATTATATAGTTTTTTTTTTAGAAAATCTGGTTTCTACTTGCAAATGGAGTAATCGGGCATTCCAAAACTCAAGAATGAAATAAATACCATTTGGGAGTCCTGACTTAATATTCAAATAAAATTATTATTATTATTCTTTAAATATAATGTACATAAACATAAAAATGTAATAACTGTAAAAAGCGAAAAAAAATCAAATTTATATCCTAATATATTTAAATACTACTATCATGTCAATATTTTAACCTTTATCATTTTGGTTTTTATGAGTACAAAAAAAATTATATCAAGTATTATAAAAAATCAATATATTACTGCAATCGTTCTTGTAGTATATTTTTTAACACAAATGCATTTCTGTATACCTTCCTTATACGAATATTAAATTTTGCAACTCTCTCACTAATATTCTTGGATCTTTTCAGCTCAAGCGACAGGACTTCCATCAGAATTTCTACCAGGACATCAATTCAACAATCCATCATCTCAAAAGTATCAATGCTCAAAATGTTGGAGTAATTTTGGTGATTTTGTCGAATTTCAAAATCATACTCAATATGGTTGCCGATTTTTTTCGGGGCAGGACAGGTCGACGGTCGCAGGTCAACATGTTTGCCCTGATTGCGGTAAATGTTATACTCGGGCGACTGGACTATGGCAACATAGAAAGTTTGAATGCGGAAATCCGCCAGGGGCTTTCAAATGTCCTTATTGTAACTATGGATGCAGGAGAAAATATTATTTGAAGGACCATATACGGAATAGACATGGCAACTGCCCTGTGACAAATACAGAACCGATGAGATAATCCTAGTTAGGTTATGTCGAAAATTCGACTCTCTTTCCGCACAGAGATAAATTTTGCCATCATTTGGTACTTCGCTGTTTGCAAAATAATGCTCCCTCAGAACCTTTCTAAATTTACGTAATATGCGTTAGTTTCATAGACCTTACAATGCATAGACCTTATATTTATAAGGTTTATGATTAGTCTACTGTGAATTTTGAGCTTTACGTTACAAAGTTATTACCGAATGCGGACTGAGAGTCCCAAGAGAGTAATTATGTCTTAAAAAGCAATTCAACACTATAGACTTTTGCCCCTTAAAAGCAACGAAAGATTTATATCCAAAAAAGGTTAAATTGTAAATATTATAATAATACCAAAGATGGAGGTAGAGATAGTTGACAAATTGTGCTTTACTGAAAGTTGTGCAAGCAATACTAATGCACCAATGGTTGTGCTTTATTCTTTGTTGAATATTGGCGGCAAAAATGATGGGGATACACAAATCATCAAAAACAACAATATGAGAAGAAGAGAAATTTTCTTATGGGCTTTGTTTTTTCAAAAAGGACTTACGTCGACGACCCCAAATTTTTTGCTGCTCAGATAAATATCGACCAGAATCAGTTAATTAATCCCTTTGCGCCCTGGTGTCCCCTTTGAGTGGACAACGTAAGCCTAGCATATCTTCTGGTTGTCCCCTCTAAAGGAAATTTAGAATTTTGGAGTTATTCTAGATCACCTTAGAGACGACAGCCAAGTGATATGCTGAATTACATTGCCCCGCTCAGGAGACAAATGGTTCATTATCTGATTTTAGTCGATATTTGTCTGAGAAATTTTAATATGGGCTTTGTTTTTCCAAATAGGAAACAAACACTTGTGTCAACGAGCCTATCATACTTGCAAGCTCAGACAAGTTTAGACTAGGATCAGAGAATTAACCCTTTACACCCTGGAGTCTCTTTTGAGCGGATAACGTGAGTCTAACATATCTCTTTGGGAAAATTTAGAATGTTAGAGTTATTCCAGATCCCCTTAGAGGGTTCATCCAAGTGATATGCTTGACTTACGTTGCTCCTGCAGAGGAGAATGCATTAGGCAAATGGTTAATTATCAGATTTTACTCGATATTTGTCTGGGAAATCAAGTATGTTGGTACAAGTGATTGTTTTTTATTTGGTAAGACAAAGCCAATGATAATTTTATTCTAGAAAACTGACCCTTTGGGTTCTTTCTTACCCTCTGAGTGAACAACGTAAGTCTAGCATCTCTTGGCTGTCTCCTATGAGGGGACTTAGCATTTGGTGTTGAGTTCGTATTGAAGCGTCGAATAGAATAGATAATTGCAGTGATATGACAGTGTTGTCTCTATGAAATGTACTATTAGTTATTTTAGAAGATTATAATTTTCAAAGCAACTGTATTTTTAGTTTCTTAGTATACTATTTATTAGTTAGGTTTATATTTTTTGTATTTAAGTTAAATTATTTTGTATTGTTCTCAACAATTACTCTTATAAGTTTAATAAAGTTTTTATTGGCACAAAATATAATTTTTAAAGTATTTTTTACTGTTTTCATTATATAATTATTTTTTCACTAAATATAGCAAAGCGACCAAGCTCAGGAAAATCTTGTAAAGTATGCAGGAATAAAGATGAGTTGGTACAAATCGACCAGCTATGCTTGTCGAAAAAACTTTATAAGTTACCATTCTGAAGTAAATTATCAAAAATAAATCTAGTTATATTTGTAAATGTATTTTTATATCAAATAATATCTAAATTTATATGTGATATTTTTTTAGAATGGTAATGTTTGAAGCAGTTTCCAACATGCATATCCTAGTTAATTTGTACATCATCATCTGTTCTACTGCTTTCTTCAATGTCGACTATTAATTTCATTAAATACATTATTAACGCTTTCCACTCGCAAATTTTGGAGCGGCGGCATTCGAGTCGAACGGGTTAATTCATACAAAACAAATATCATAATATTTTTCTTACTTGATTCTAAAATTATTCTTAATAATACAATGTTTGCAGCATCTAAATTTTCGCCAGAATGCTGCATCGAGTTGCTGGAAGATAAAGTCCTAATTGGTACAGGGCACAAAGGGTTAACTATTAATAAAGGTGCAGGTCGTAAAGGATTCCCTGTTTTTAAGGAACCAAAACAAAGACCTGTCGCATAAATTAAAGGCAGCAGTTACAAAAGAGGGCGTTGTGGTTTTTGTGACCGAAAGAAAAATAGGCCTACCAAATACTTCTGCATTAAATGTTTAAAATATATGTGCTTGGAACATTGTACATTTATATGTTCGGATTGTCTTAATAATGATATTGATTAAATGAAGATACGTATTTAGAAATACATGTTTTTTAAATATTATCTGGTCCATTTGCTAAAGAAAGTGATTCTTTTTCGATGCGGACTCACAGTCCGACACGGAAAGTTAAAATTGTGGTCTCATTTATTTTGTAATATGCTGAACAAAATTTTTGTAATAATATGTTAATTAAATAGTGTTTTTAGAAATTATTATGTGATTTGTAGAAAGTTTTTATTTCTTATAAATGTAATAATTCTTTTTAAATTATATTTTGAGTGCACTCCATAGACTAAGTGTGTTTATTTAGAAAAAATGTTTGATAAAAATAGTTTTTTATAAATTAGTTAAAATACTCGTAGCGGTATTTATATATTTTTATAAAAACATATGCGAATTAATTTTGAATATTTTAGTTTAGAATTAGTCTTAAAGTATTTTATGTAAAAAATATTATTTTTTATGTATTATGCTTTGAAATGTAGGTTGTAACAGAATTAATATGCATATTATAAAAAATGAATAAATAAAATTTGGTAAATTTTTTTAGAATTTAATTTGTGTATGGTTAGTATATATCACTAATTATTTTTTTCTTTTTACAGGTTCGACAACAGATATTTCGAGAAAGTTACTTTTATATTTCGAGCATGGAAGACAACATGTATTTCGGAAATAACTCATTTATATATGAACATAAAACATAAATGTACTGTTTTATTGTTAAGTTATTATTATTCTTTTTTAAAACTGATATATTGCTTTCGAGAAAAAAATATTTACAAAAAACTGCATTATTTTATTCAACTTCTCAATTTATATTGGAACATAATTCATATATTATATAGAAACCAATTCGTCGATTTAAAAATGAAAGAATTTTTTCACTTTTTAACACTTGAGGCGTCAACATTCTGTAAATCAAACCACAGAAAACCGAAACACAAATATTTTAATACGTAATTTATTTATAATTGAAAATTTTAATTAGCCATAAACATCATCCTTGTTAACACAAAAATTTAAGTTTTGTTCCAAATACTTATAATATTTTACTGTTCTAATATTATTAAAAATGAAAAAAAATCGACTAATAATAATTGGTCCAAAAATCATCTAAGTTACTACTACCAGTCGTCGGTCTAAATTAGTTACTAGATAACAAGGTCGTGCTTTATATTTTTTTTTGTAAGTTTTTTTATTCAGAACAGAAGTTATGTTTCGTTGTTTATTGTCAATTAAACTTTTCAAAGGATTAAATTTGATCAAATTTTGCATTTTGGTTTTTGCTTAACTTTTTAGCTTCAGCTGAATCATTGTTACTAATTCTGGTTTTTGTTACTATTATTTACTATTCTAATATTATTAAAAATGAAAAAAAAATCCCCGAATAATAGTTGGTCTAAAAATCATCTATGTTACTACTACCAGCCGTCGGTCTAAATTAGTTACTAGATAACAAGGTCGTGTATTATATTATTTTTGTATTTTTTTTTTTTATTTAGAACAGAAGTTATGTTTTGTTATTTATTGTCAATTAAACTTTTCAATGGATAAAATATGATCAAATTTTTTATTTTGGTGTTTCCCTAACTTTCTAGTTTTACCTGAATTCTTGTTACTAATTCTGGTTTTGTTACTGTTATAATATTATTAAAAGTAAAAAAAAAATCGCCTAATAATAGTTGGTCCAAAAATCATCTAAGTTACTACCACCAGCCGTCGGTCTAACTTAGTTACTAGATAACAAGTTCGTGCATTATATTATTTTTGTAAATGTTTTATTTAGAACAAATTTATATTTTGTTGTTTATTGTCAATTAAACTTTTCAATTGACAAAACGTGCTCTAATTTTGCGTTTTGGTTTCCCCTTGACTTTTGATTTTACGTAAATGGTCTAATTCTGGTATTTGCTACTATTACTATACTTTAATATTATAATATTTTAAATATTATTAAAATTGAAAAAATCGACTAAAAATAATTGTTACAAAAATCATCTAAGTTATTATTACCAGCTGTCGTTCTAACTGTGTTACTAGATAACAAGGTCGTGCATCATGTTATTTTTGTAAGTTTTTTTATTTGGAGACAGAAGTTATGTTTCGTTGCTTATTGTAAATTGAACTTTTCAATAGACAAAATATGCTCTATATTACTATACTTTGTTGTTCTAATAATAATAAAAATAAAAATAAATTGCCTAATAATAGTTAGTCCAAAAATCATCTAAGTTACTACCACCAGCTGTCGGTCTAACTTAGTTACTAGATTACAAGGTCGTGCCATCTAGCAAATCACGTAGCAAGCTTTTCGGGAATCCATTCTCTCAAAATACTCGCCATCTCGCTTCTGCGCAACCCGAACGAATGAGTTAGAGTAGGTAAACTATATTTTTTGTTAATACTACGCAAGAACAGGTATCTATAACAGGTGGTCAGGGTTGTAAAGGTTTAGTTAAGGATTTTAGTTATGTGTTATTAAGGAACTTAGTTATAAGGCAATATAGTGTTTGTATTTGTTATCTCTGCTATTGTTATGAATGTGCTCTTATTAGTTAGTGGAAATTATAGTGTAGTTTAGGACAATTTAAGTTATTCGGTTTATGAATATTATCCTGAAAACCCTGGTAGTGTTTGTATGTTAGTTTAGAATGCATTTTGTACCTGTGGTTATGAGAAGTGCGGTGGCTGTCAATTTCAGCGCCATGAGAAGCACGTGTTATAAATTAAGAAAAAGGCAAGTTAATAAACGAATTTGTCATTGATATTACTTCAAGTTATATATAATATTTTTTATTAAATTGCATTCTGTATTTACGAAAAAACTGTAATTTTAAGGATATGCTTAAATTATTATAGATATACTTCTGAAAGGTTATGCAGTAGTAAGCCTTTACAGATAAATTGTGCAGCAATAGATATTTACATTACGACAGCAGAATAAATTTTAATAAATGGCAACTCATAAAAAAATATAATATTTTTTCTATATATTGTACTTTCTAGGTGACTAAACGAAATTCCGCTCACATATTTGATAATTTTATTGACTGATTTGATTTGATTATTATTGACTTTATAGTATCAGACCTTCATAACATATATGCTCACGAATATAGTATATCATTGTAAATCAGATAATTTGTATGGTGTAAGAGATTACAGCAAATATTTCTACAATTAATTTCTTAAAGTTAATTTTCTAATATATTTAACAATTATTATATATAAATATATTTACATACCCACATATATACATATGCAAAAATGTACAATTATAAAATAATAACTAGTTGTGAGTCGTATTTTGCCTTGAGGCAAGTTACATAAACTTCTCGAAATGTGCTATAATTGACCGAAATTGAGATTTTGATATTCATATAAATTCTTTTAATTAAATCTCACAGTACGATTTCCAATATAATTTTCTCAAACACAATTAAAAAAATTATCTGTAATTATATTAATTTTATTTCACAGACACGTGCTTGTATGTCCGATTGTAGTTTAATATTCCACGTTTTAACGAATTGATAATGTTTGACTTATTACATCACAAAAGCAACATATTATTTATTCATATTTTTTCAAGCTTTGATAAATTTTCAAAATTAAACTACTTGCCGTAGGGCCATAATATTTCAGTACGTTCTATAAGACCATGATATCTAATCTATTGCTTAAAAAAGTTTCATAAAAGTCGGTTATGGACTTTAATTAAACAGTTAATTAAATTTAAGGTAAAAAATCTTTTCACATATATACACACACACACACAATTTCAAATTCAAATTTAGTCTCATTTGATTCAGAATGGCTTGAAGGAAATTTTGATAAACTTTTTTTATTATCAAATTGTTAAGGAAAAATTGTAAGGCTTTTAATTTGATAATAAAAATGTGTATCAAAATTTATTGAAAATTGTTCAAGTTATTCAACATTTTCATTGACCACATATAAATGGCGCACCCTGTATTTTGTGGTATATGTAACTTGATGTTTTTAAATCATAAATAGTATTTGATGTTTTCCTGTACTTATTCATGAAAATTCTAGCAATGATAAATTTTGTACCTTAACCATTCTTAATATGAAAGTGGAATTTTGCTTTAAGGAATCTTGCATGAACTTATAAGTATATAGATTTAGCATCTTCTTAAATTGCGATGATACAATAGGTTGACCACTTTTTTTAGACCCATATAAATTTCAACAAATTCGTCAAATAGTAGTTTCCAATAATTAAGTAGGACAGTAGAAACTGCCTGGATGATCTTTGCCAAAACGAATCAGCATGATCCCTATCTGAAAGCGTTCAAATGGTTTTTGAATTTTTTAAAATTTTGCACGATTATGCTATTTTAAAAGAAGCAGCTTGACCGATCATCACGAAGATCTACTAAAAGCGAGTTCTTTTCTAGTTACATCAAATGGCGTTTAAATTGGTGAAGCCGTTTTTGAGAAAACGTCGACAGAAGGTCACATTTTGGCTCTCCAATACAAATTTAAAAAAATCTTTTTTTTTATTTCACTTTATTTCAGCAATCAGAAATACAAAAATAATTTCTATGAGCTAAACTGTACATTTAAATAAGTATGATATTATATAAGATAATCCAGTGATATATCTTACTTAGTTTACATAAAATCGAATGGCCATTTGATCGAATCGAGATTTGTTTTACTAAAAAATCATAAAAACAGATTTTGTGACAATAATAAACAATATCTTCTCTTTTGGTAAATTAATAAAATAATTCCCTATAATTTACAGGAAACATAGTAAAAAAAATCTTTTATGTTTAATTGTTAGATTAGATTCTTTTTAACCAAATTATGGATTAATTTATGAGTAATATGACTTTGTATATAGACCAGGATTCTTAAAAGTAAGTATTTCTTTTGTATATATTTAGAATTACATGTTGCTCATTTGGGTGTAGTTTATGATCAATTAAGCATAATTGTAAGGCTCACATTTCTCCATTTATTATATAATTGGGTTGTTGGTTCATCATCATTCCCATGGACGTATATCATAAAATTGTATTTATAATCATCATTGGTTTTATGCTGAATAAAATTTATATTTAAACCTAAATGCATGTATCTAACATCCCATATTTTTTGTTTTAGGTGAAGAATCTCTATGTTGTCTAAGTTGTGGTGCTGAATACAGCAATTCCCTGATGCTGCGTTACCATGAATGTGTTGAAGTAAAAATTGAAGGTGATGAGGCCGATGCATTTTCATTTCCATGTCTAAAATGTCCAAAAGTTTACAAAAGCAGGACTTGCTGGTATCGTCATATGAAATATGAATGTGGAGTCGAACCGAGATTTTGCTGTTCAATTTGCAATTATCGATGCAGACGCAAAGATAATTTGAGACAGCATATGAAGAATAAGCATGATCAGACCAGGAAGAAATGAATTTAAAAAATAATATCAAGTCATGAGAATTTTGTTTTTATATATTAAAGAGATTAATTGTTTTATGAATGTGGTGTTGATAAATTTTGATGAAATAAAATTTTATTAAAGTATATTATGAATGAAATGTGCAATATTTTATCAGCACCCCATAATATTTTTAAATGCTATATTTTATATTCTAAATGCAAATGCTCCCATTAACTAAATTTTTGTTCGGTAATAAAATTTACTATAGTCTTACCTCTTACATAGCTATGGGAATTACTTGTTTTACGAACTTTGTTTGCTATCGTACATCCTAACCTGTTATTTTTTATGAAAGGGCAACCCAGTGGTCAATCACTCTTCTTTATGTGTAGACTATATATATTTGATATGTATATCTAATAGTGTGTGTCGTTTATATGTGCTGCAGCAATGAACACGAAAAGCGTTTTTCACTTGAGTTCATATTTGAGATCCAAACCTCAATGGAAATTTGATATCATACTGCTTGATATCGAGCAGGAAGATTTGGGGTCTTCTAAATCTAATTTCTCCTATTAATTAAACATAATTCCTTAATAAAAATTACTATTGTCTGTCGGGAATAGTTTGTGCTAGCTCACGACGAGTTTTAGCTAATAAATTTAACATAGAAATTATTTTTTAATAATATAATGAAATTTGTATAATGAAGTTTTTTTTGCAAAAAGTTTTATTTAAATGAAACTATAAGCTTTACTTATACAGGTAAATATTACTCTAAACTAGACTGATTTAATAAAAATTGGAAAATTATTAAAATTTTATAGATTTTATTCTGTTGTCAGGTAGACCTTACATTATATAACAAATTTTGTATAAGTGCAACATATGCGTTGAAAAAACTGCCAAATGTATAAAATGTACTAATTATACATAATAAATAAATATATTAATTATGAAAATGTCCTAAAAAATAAAAAAATATGATGTTATATGTTTTAAACAAGCTCCTTAATATATTAAATTTCTTAAATAGTTTTAGCTTTATGGCAATATTGATACATGCATCTTTTCGAATTTCTATTTTTATAATGTATCTAAAATTAAAAACATGTATTTTATACTTTGTGAGTTAAATGCTTTTTTGAAGATAATTGTTTCATAGATTTAATATAACCGTACTTCAAATTCAAACAAAAAATTAGAATAAAGAGATGTTGTTATTGCTAGATTTTCAAGTGGTTCAATTCAAAATAAAATTAGTTATAGAGTTATATAAGATAATAATATATAGTAGAATATATTTTTATGTCGAATATTTTTTATATATTTTGTTGTAATATTCCTAGATTTCTTAATATATTTTTTTCAATAAGTAGTATTTACAGTTTCAAAATATTTGCTTTTTTATTGCCAACTGGATATACTACACACTTAGATTGAAAAATATATAGGCTTACTGTAATTATTTACTTCCAATGTACGAGTATTTAAAAGTTTAATTCCAATATATAAAAAATTATATTTTATTACAATATTTTATAAATAAATATATATACATATATATTTATGGTTATAATTAGATGTCATAAATAAACAATATTAAATATATTTTTAAAATATTAAATTGGGATGGTAATGATTTTTCCTCATTAGATATGTATGTTAATAATTATGGATCAAATGTTCTTTAAAATCAAATTAATCATATAAAATATGTACTTGATAATTATGTGAGCAGTAACCAAAACAATAATATATACATTATAAGTACTTTATATAAATATATGAAAGTTGTAATATTTCAATTAATTTGATAATAAAATATGATAAATGTACCAACCATATTTGATTGCAAAGCAAGTTGATGTAGGATTAATAAATTTTAATATTTTTAAGGAAATTTTATCCAAGACTTGGTATAATAGGATGTCATCAGTTCTTCTACTCTAACATCATGGATTTTGGATTGGTTTTTCTCGTTGTGGAAATTTTGTGAAATTAATTTTTATACCAGAAATTTCAAATCCATTGTCCGGCCCAATTTAAACACCTACTAATTCAAGAACTAATTTAATGTATTTGTTTTTACTAATTTGTTTCTCTTTTCCAGATAACCTGTTCTATCCATTCCAAACAATGAGGATCACCCAGAAAACTCATGAGTGTGATGTTTGTGGAAGAATGTATAAACATAATAAGAATCTAGTTAGACATCGAGACTATGAATGTGGACTTGAACCAAGATTCAAATGTACTTTGTGTGATTTTACAAGTTATCGAAAATATAGTTTACAACGTCATTTGACCAGGCATGGAAAACACAGATCCAAATTTGGCAGAAGAATAATACGGGATTAAACTGATCTGCATTAATTCCATGAGTTATATATAAATTAACTCTTTCTACTCGCGAATTTCGAGATTTATATGAATTTTACCGCCGGAGCGGCGGCATTCGGGTGGAAAGGGTTGAAAGAAATATTTTTTATGGCGTCTAGCTCTGTGTTCCCAATATTCGAGAACCTCCAAATAAATAACCGGAGATCAAACATCGAGTGTTGTTAATCATTTTAACATAATTTTTCTTATTAAATAAATTGTTAAAATACAAGTTTCTTATTAACCACTAGCAAACCGGGCGAACTCCGTTTCACCACCAGATAATTTCATTTTATGTAACATTTCGTTTGGTGATTAAAAGATGAAGAAAAAATTGCCTGCTGTTGAAACTGAATGAAAATTTGCACAATACACGTGATTGATTTGATGGTTTCCAATTGAAATGTTAGGAAACGAATAACTTTTATTTTTTACTTTTTTGCAAAATTTCACAGTGAACACAATGCCGGTTTGTCACATGTAATTAACTGAGCAGAGAACAAATAGTAGCTGTCAAACATATGAGTTGCAGTCAAACAAAAAATATTAGTTTGTAGTACATGCTAAGTATCAGAAATGACACTGTATGTGAAAAAAGAAAGTGTTTTTCGCTTTCTGTTGGAATCTTTCTTCAATTTTCTTTGCTATAAACCTCACGGAGTCCGAGACCATTCCAACGAATGCAAAATCGTCGAAATCGGTTCGTGCGTTCTGGAGTTATATCGTCAGGAAGGAAAACTCGACTTAATTTTATAGAATAGATTATCTTGTTCCATGAATTATTTTCAATGTTATGTTATTTATTTCCAATTTTTATCTAAAGTTTACTAATGTTAATGTTAAAATTTATAATTGTTTTGAGAATATACTACCTCCAAAACATCATGTAATATTTTCATTTCAAACATTATATTATTTATTTGTTATAAAATATGAAACCCTAATCTACAATTTTGTATAAAATTTGAATGGGTTATTGGTATAATTGAATAATTTATAATAATGATGAAAATGTAAGGTTTTATTTATGTTTTACAATACATATTATATATATTTTAATTTGAACTAAATAGTGTCTGTGAATGGAGACGCCGTATAAAAGTAAGTAATAATTAAAATATATTTGAATTTTTTTATATTAATTTAAAATTGTATTTTTCAGGTACTTTGCAGTGCTTTTTTGCTTAGATATTAAGATTCTTCTTTGTGGCTCTATGGTAAGAGCTTTGGCCTTGCAACGACATGGTTATCGGTTTGATTGATACCCACCTAAGCCCGGCTGACATCAAGCAGTATTGATATACGTTTTAATTTGAAAATATAGATTTAAAATATATATAAGTGAGAACAGCCCTTCTTAAAATGTTGCACCAAATTATAGATGCAACTGTTTAGGTAGCCTTCTAAAAAGAGAAGTTTCTTCATAACGAGTCATAGAATTTTTGGGAAAATTAATAATACAGAACACGTCAATATTATTATAAAATACTGTATTTATTATAATTTTTCAATTAGTTTTTTATATTATTATTTTATAATTTTTTATATAATTCGCATATGCTGTTTAATAAATATTATTAATTGTAGCCAAATTATTTATGGTCTTGATGTGGATGCACCGAGAGAATATCTTGTATGAAAGTTGGCATACATAGAAGTCAGTATTAATTTTTTAACAATTATTTTTGACTAATTATTAGGATGATTGTTTATTATTAATTTAGTTAATATCAATGATTATGTAATTCATATCATATGTGATTCAGGTTTACATCAACAATCATTTTTACTTTTCGAAACTGAGGACATTGAAAATCATAATTTATGCACAAATTCTCATGTAACATTTTAACGATACTAATTTTTTTGCTGGTTTACACTTTAATACTAATATGCCAAACTGTATCACATTAAAATTGCATGAAATTTAAAAAACCAATTTTTTTTACTAACGAAACAATTTATGGTTTCAGATTGGAACTACCGAGAATTCATAGACAACCATTCTGCATTGGGTCTTAAATCTGATATCATTTTTTCTACCGATGGTAGAAATTTATTAGATCAGCAAGAAGTTTATCGATGTCATAGATGTTCTAGGACTTATAAATATCAACAAACTTTAGTCAGACATTTGAAATACGAATGCGGAAAAGCTCCTCAGTTTTCGTGCATGATATGTTCAAGACATTTCAGGAGAAATGATTATTTAGACAAACATTTGTTTAGGAAACATAAAATAGTGCAGAACAAATCGGTTAAGTTTTAGTTTAACCTGTATTGGTGTATTTAAAAAAAACTTGTTGGCAAAGGGACAAAAAAAACTACGACAGTGAACTTAGGCTATGGCAATAGGCAATTTAAATTGTCTTTTGGAAGAAACATTTTAACTAAACCAATGTTGAAAAAGAAATTATTATAATAGTTTAATGAAATCATATGTATATATAATATTTAGTTTCTTACTCATTATTTTTACAATATAGGATTTATTTTTAATATTAAATATATTTCTCCACAACCATTTTTAGGCGAATGATATTAACGTGGATTAAAAAATTTAGTCCATATTGGTTCTTTTCATACCAAACTAATTATAAGTTTATTCTATGTAAGTCTAATATTATGGGATATATATATATATATATATATATATATATATATGAAGTATTTTGCAGCCCAATCGTCGAATTAAAAGAAGATTAAAATAGATTTTTTTTATTCCATTAAACATTTCGACACTTGATGTGTGTCATCATTCAGTAATCAAACCAGGAAAAACAACAAAAAAAAATTAATTATGATGTAAAATCATTCACTCTCCATTACTACACTTGCTTTGTAACCTTGATCAGTGTTTGCAATGCACCGCTATTAATAACATAAAATATAGGAGGGCAATATGTGCACATTGTCGAAACGTTTAATATAATAAAAAAAATCTATTTTAATCTTTTTTTATTTCGACGATTGGTCGAATAGGATTTAAATAATATGGAATTGCTTTAGATTGTTTACGTCTTTTATAAAACTGTATAAATTTTATATCATGTTCGTTTTTTTACAAAAGACACAGAATATATAAAAAACATCACAATATTATAAGCCTGCGAAAAATTATTTGTTATTATGAATTTGTTATTTTTTATTGTAGAAACTACTTATGTAAATAATCTGATTTTTATAATTATATTACATTTTTATATTTTTTTTAACCTTTTTGCTGCGGCGTTATTTTTCGCGTCACTGCTATACGAGCCAGCAACCCGCACATGTTTTAAAGAACCAAAAATAACAATAACAAATTAGAATTATTGATAATTGTGAAGTATCGGACACAAAATGTCGTCTATAGACGACACACGTACGCACAGGTCGTGGATGACGCCTATAGGCGACGTTCGTAGCGAAAGGGTTAAAGTGATGTAAAATTATTTTTTTAAATATATTTGAAATGAATGTATTATGGAATATATGCAAATTTATGCAAAAATATAGTTTTTCTTTAAATTATTATAAAATAAAATGAAATTAATAATGTGTCTTCATATATTGTAATTTTTCTTGAAGTTTTATATGTAGGTAAAAAATAAAGATTACTGTTTTAAAATATTTTGAACATTCACGAAAATCTTACAATAGTTATATGGGTAGTTGAAAAAATGTTATTTACTATCTGATCAACATCGATTTTAATTTAAATTTATAATTTAAAAAAACTTAATAGATTAATTTAAATTTTTTATGTTATATATTAGACGTTAACTACATGAGATCTGGTCATAAAAATATCATCATTTTGACTAACAGATAAAAGTATTTTATAAAAAAAATACAAGCGATATATTTTATTTATATTTTGTGAAATATACTTACATAATATTTTATACATTTATTCATTAATTTTGGGTCTATTTACCATTGACTGACCAATTAAAATGTTTTATGTTTCAGATTCTACCACGAATTGGTACTCACCATCCACTACACTTTGTACTAAATGCAACCAATTCTTTTTGAATTCATATGAAAAGAATCATCATATTTGCAAGGTAACACAATTATCAGAAAAATTGGAAGATATAGTTTTTTCTTGTCCAAAATGCGGAAAAACTTACAAATCTCGCAGTTGTGTCTATCGTCATATGAAATATGAATGTGGAAAATTGCCCGCTTTCAAATGTGATTTATGTGACTACATGACATACCATAAAGGAAATATGCAACAGCATATTAAAAGAAAACATTCATGAAGAAAGAATTTAAAATATGTGATTTTTAAAAAATAAAACTAAATTATGTGATTTTTGTTTTTATTTATTTGACGACATATGCTAGTCTCTGCTGATCCAAATTTTTGTGAATCTCTGAAGCAATAAAATTGATTTGCTATTTTTAACCTAACTTTCTTTAATGTTGTAAGATATTATTTTGGTTTATATTATTATTTATAAATATAATTTTATATCAGAATAAATATATCTAAGCGAATGAATATTTAGTAATGTAAAAATTTATCGACTGAAATTCTTACCTAAAATTAAATACTGTAGGCAAAGTTAGAAAATGATAAAATATCGTGTGTCTTAAAATTCAAAAATTATATTGTTTTATTTATATATATATATATATATATATATATATATATAAATATATTGGGATGGTCCTTAGTATGGACATTTTCGAATTGTCTTGCCCCTAAGAGCTCAAATGGTTCCAAATTGATAAAAAACAATTCTCTCAAAGTTTTAGCTCTTAATATTGTTTTTTAGATAGTGCGCAATTCAATCAAAGTTTTACATGGAAATAGCATGAAAATTTTTTCAAAAGTTTTAAAAATGATTTTAGATATAATTTAGTGAACAAATGAATGAGTTTTTATTTTGTCGCTAAGTTATACCTAAATTTTTTTTTTATTTTCAAAATTTTTTTCCACTATCTAAAAGTTAATATTAAGAGCTAAAACTTTCAGAGAATTATTTTTTATCAGTATGGACCATTTGAGCCCTTGGGAATAAAAAAATTAGAAATTGTCTATATTAAGGACCACCCTATTATATATATAAGTGATGAAGTTATTAATTTTAGAAAAACTCTTGCTAGTTAACTGTACTTAAAATCATGACAATATTTACTTTAAATTTATAAAGGTTTACAATGTGAATTTTAGAGTTATTGTTGTTATTAATGTACTAATGTTTATTTTGGACTTAATAAAATGTAAAAGGTTTGTAAAGAATTAATAAAATGCAAAGGGATTACAAAAGTCCATTCATCCATTTGTAATTTAGAATGTGACCATTAAATTCAACTGTTGATTTTAGACCTTAAAGCTTTTATAAACTGTAAAAATATATAAATATTTGTATTCGTATATACATTGTATATAAATATTAGGGCTGGTCAAGTTGTATGCTGTCGAAAAAATACACAGGGTCTTATTGCGAGTATGACTACGAGTATATGGGTTATTTCAAGAAACTTTTCCGAAGAAACCATAGCTCGGGAGTGAATTTCGAGGCAACAAATTTCCCATTAAAGTTCCTTCTTCATATGTTGAAATATCATCTGGGAATTTGCTGAATCTTCGCATGATTATAGAATTGATAGGCCTATAATATTTTTGGAGGCTCGTTTTGACTATTAACTCTGTAATTACACATTATTCAAATAAATTCCCAGTCCAGTACATGTGGGACCTTTGTAAAAGCAGTATTGAATATAGATTTTCATACTTTTGTAAGGTAGCATTTAAAATAAATATATGAAGGAAAAATTATTTTAAAAATACGCTGGCTCCAAATTCACTTCCATGCTAAGGTTTCTTCGTCAAAATTTCTTGAAATATATTTTAAAATCAGAATTATGATGTGCCCTAATAATAAAATAATTTCCCGCTCTAAAATATAGTTTGGTGTCTGATTGTATCGTTATAAAGTTATTAGTTTAATTTAACCTAATTTATGAATTTTATTAAAAAATGTAACATATAATTTATTACTGGCATCCGTATTAGATAAGACAATAAATATAGTATTTGTTCATGAAGATAATTATTAAAATAAAATTACCCCTAGAACAAGTTTTGCGATGTACCTTAATGGGTAAAAAATTTGACCCGCCCTAATCTATATAATTAAGTAAAGTTTATTCATTTTATTGATATTGTAATATAAGATCTATATTTTGTATCTATTTTATATAAAATAATACATGGATTGTTTATACATGAATTCTTAAATACTACTTATATTAATGAGTTGATAGAAACATCACATTTATTTTTTACTAATCAATTATTTTTCACTTCAGGCGACCTCGGATTTTCTATAGATTATAATTATGGATTTGATGTAACAAATCAGCAAGATGGTCACCCTTATAGATGTCACTTATGTGGAAAATGTTACATGCACAAAGGAAATATGCGACGTCACATGCGATTCGAATGTGGAAAACCGCCTCATTTGAAATGCGATCACTGCAGTTATAGGACGCACCACAAACATCACCTGATTAGGCACAGGAAAAACTCTTGTCCTAAAAAATAAAATTCCTGGCATAATAAATAAATTTGGTGAAAGTAAAATGTTGGATTAAAAGCAAAAAACAGCGCCTAAGTATAGAAACATGTCATCCAAATTTACTAGCAAACTCCTTACTAATAGAAAACTATCGTCGTTGACCGAAGAGAAAATGGCCACTTGATTAAACTCATCAATTTTTATGATGAAAATTGAAGAAACGTAATCATTATTTATAAGAAATTATTTATAAGAAAATAGTTAAGTAATTATTATTATTATTAATAATTTATTGTGTACATGTAGATTACTAAGTATGCAAATTTACTTAGGCGTCCTAGCTAGAGAAAATTTCCATAAATTGCAAAATTGCGTATTTAATTAATTTATCAGAAATTTTCACTCCTTAAATTATTTTTAAATTTGAACTGGTTGAACTCTCAAATATTGTAAATTTAGATCATAGCAATCTTTATATAATTCTGATTGCTAAATAAAAGAGTTCAAAAAAAAATTAATTGGTGAATAGTGACAAGTATTTAGTGTTCTAGAAGCACCAAACCAAATGTATAGTGTTAATATTTATCATTTTCTTGTATAAATATAATTTTCATACATGTTTCATATTGAAAAAAGTATATCAATATGTATATAAAAAATGTAGTTTTAAAATGTTTTGCATTTTATTATAAAAACCGGGGTCAAATGGAAAAGAAGATTAGGTTATAGTAATTTATATAATATAAATAGAATAAAAATTAAGTCAATCACGTTGAAAATTGTAATAACAAATGTATTACTTTTAAGGGTCATTCCATAAATATTTATTTGATAATGTAATTGTGTATACTATATCTGTATATATTTTGTTTATAAGTTCAAATTAGAAAATAAAGTCTTAATTAAGAAGCTGAAATAATTTATTAACATTTTTAATTTATAATATACTTTTATTTATATAATTATATCATTTATGTTAGTCTTATAATAAAGTTCATTTAATATTTTAAAGATCCATCTACTATTTTGAAAAAAATGTGATCATAGCTTTAAATGTAGACTATACCGAATTATTTAAACACACTAGAATCTTTATAGGCGATTTACTTCTAACTACTAGACTGCAAATAAGCTTAGAAGTTTAAGACAGGTACATTTAGGAACTGACAAGAATTACTAGCTTTTTACTAATATAATTCTTGAACTAAATTATGTTTAAATCATGAGAATTTAAATGAAATCTAAAATGGTAAGAAAAATTATTATACCCTCATATAGATTTCTAAAGGCTTGAGACTTTTCTTATTATATTACCTGCACAAGTAGGCATTAATTTAACATGATTTTTTGCACCTATCGTCAAATTCTTAATAAATATTATATTTCACTAACTATAAACATTTTTTATTTCAGGTCCTTCCCAACGGTGGTTTACCTCTTTACAAACGAATCCTGGCACATACTGCGACAAATGTTTGACTTTTCTTCCAAATCCTGAAGAATTTTCTAAACATATTTGTCAAATTACTATAAGAACTGATGACGTTAATAGAAAGTTATATATTTGTATGCAATGTAACAAATCTTATAAAACACGTAGTTGTTTGTTTAGACACAAGAAATATGAATGCGGAAAATTGCCAACTAATAAATGTGATTATTGCGACCATTGGACGTACCATAGGAGTAATATGGTGGTGCATATGAAGAGAATGCATGAGAGGGAGAATTTGAATAAAATATTGGCTCATAATACTCAAAATTGAAATTTATAATTAATTTTAATATATCATAGTTTCTCCTACCATTAAATTGCTTTGATTCTTCATTTTTTTGGGCACAAGTTGTTGGGATTTTTTTTTCTTTATCATCATGAAACAGAGAAAATTATTCAATAACTTTTATAAGCTCCTCTTATTTTCATTGGAGAAATCCAGGTTTCTTAAAGCATGACACTTTCGATATTTATATGATCCAACTGCAACCTATGTTATATCGGAGCTTATGGTGATTAATTGCAATTACATATTTTATCATTGACGTGCAACTCTCTAATTATTTATATATAAAAGATTATATTTTATTTTATTATATACGAAATACATATCGAAAAATAATATTAATTGAGCACAATATGATCTGGAATAAATTTTGATGGAGATGAAATTAGACGATTTACTCCCCAAATGCAATTTTTCACTTCAAAGCTTCAAATCATTATTATATATTTTATTTAATAAATTTTTAATGCAGAAAGGCTAAAAATCATGTCATTTTTATGTAAAATAAATTCGTGTTGCTTATATACATGGAATTAAATTTTTGCATATCATAAAAAGTAAAGTTCTAAAACAAAAATTAAACTAAATTTCATTAAACTAAATTTTATTCAGAATAATTTATAACAAATTTTTTATGTAATTATATTATATTACTATAGAGACTCATTGTAGTACTTATTATTAATATAAATATTATACGATTCATCATGATTAACAATTTGATTGTACAAAAGTATATTTATTTTTATCATTATTTAGTTATATATTATGTAGATAGTAAAATAAAGTATATGTTACAACAATTTCTTTTGAACCTAAAAATAAATATTTAATGTATTTTTATTATATATATGTTATTAATATTAAAAAAGAGTGCGCGTAAGGTTCACAAGCGACTGAAGTAAAACTTATTTGCTACTGTGAATAATGTTTATCAGTAATATGGTAACACTTGTTGACAACCATTATACACATTTATATAATGATAAATTATAAATTATATATTTATAATAGCATTAAAAATATGCATAATATTTAAAAACAATAATGCAATGAAAGTCATACTTCAAATATGACATGATCGGTTTGTCATTGTAATTAGCACTTACGACTTGAATCTTCATTACAGAAGTGAAGTAATTGCTTAAATGAATAATTGATTATGTTAAACGACGCCTAAACAAGTATTGTTTTTGCAACTGCACTCATGATGTTATTGTGTTTGAAGAACTTCATGTAATTAAAATTAACATACAGTTATTGACTGCTTGTAATTTTTTTACTTTTTCGCTGGCGATCTAAACTCATTCTTTGAACAGTTGTAATATCTGTCTTGTCTAAAAAATATTTTCCATTTTAATAACTTCAAATAAATCTTTAACTACAAATAATATAGAAATAATTTCTAATCAATAAACATACTAATCATTAATCTTATTAATCAATATTTTCAAGGAACGGAGTAAAATATGCTTCTGATTCAGGCATTTTTCATTAAATCAAGATTTGTAGTACGATGTAACTTTAAAATGTTTATTTATCTATGCCGATTTCCTCTATTTCATATCGGAACGCTCTATTCACATACACGAAGACTAATCACATTCGACCCGTATTAAAATGATTTCATCGAAAGCGAATGACGTTCAGTTCTGCCGTAACGGACTTCCGTTGCATTTGTACGGATTTACACCCTAGTCGCGCTTAAAGAAGTTTCACTTCAAAAATATTTAATAGGTTAAAATATGATGATTTATGAAACCATTTGCAAGGCTCTGGTTTAATATAAAAAATGTAATTTTAAATAAAAATATATTACATAAATTTGTATTATTTCGATATGGACACCGTTGTATTTTTTATATTTGGTACATATTACATTTTGTTTATTCAAAACCATAGAACACACATTGCAAATTATAAGAAAATAGAGAAAAATTATTTTCATCTAAACTTAGCATGTTTTCTTCGTGACTTTTCATATAATCTCTCGTTTAGTTAAATTATTTATTGAATTTTGTATTGTATAAAATTTGTAGAGATTTGAAGTAAGAAATCATATATTATTATGATTAAAATTATGTATATGATTAGTACCCTAGTACATTACTCTAATGCCTAATCAATGGAACAATTGACTTATTTTTCTTTGTTTTAGGAAATATGGAATACATGTTACCAAACTTCAGAAATGAATATTATCCGAACCGGCAAGAAGAATGTCCCTTTAAGTGCGGAATTTGTGGAAAATTTTATAAATACAAAAGCAATATGCAACGTCATATGCGATTTGAATGTGGAAAACAACCTCAATTGAAATGTGATCGTTGCCCTTACCGAACTTATTACAAACATCATCTGAATAGCCATTCGGTGACCAGGCATCCTTAAAAAAATATTTTTAAAAAATCTTAAAAATATTAAAATATAATTTAATTTATGTATATGAAATGTAAAATGAAATGTCGTTTTCGCGTGTGATGTAATTTAAAAATGTAAGAAAATAATTGGATGTTCTTGCCTTTTGGAAAAGAGCAAATTAGTACATGAATATGTTGGTAAAGGTCTCTTGAATTTTAGATTTAAGATTATTATATATGTAATTATAATGAACCAAAGAGTAGAGTCGTATTTAGTATAGTCGAAGGTATTTATTATCTTGTACAATAATAGATAAATTTTTTCTATTTACCAAACGATTTTTTTTACTCTATATTCTTTCGATGTATGTTGTATAAATGAATGTATATTGATTTTATAAATAATTGCCATGAAATGCAAAGCATGAACTGAAATTTTCGTACAAATACTTAATAAACGTAATACTTTAGTTTTATATTGTGATTTGCCTACTCTGCCAAGCATTTAATAGTATAATTTGTCATATTATAGTGTTTTAATTGTGTGACTTAATTTTTACAAACTCTGTTTATATAATTTGTGTAAGAGAACAAACAGTTTGAGCTAGTATCCTTTCAGATATTAGAAATAAAACTAAGTTAATAATTTTTTTTTAATAAACTTCTAAACGTTTCGAGTCATACTTTGACACTGATTAAAAGGATCAATCTACTAAAAATGATATAATAAATATCATTCTAAATATTAATTATTTATTATAGCATTTTTGTAGTTTTATCCACTAAAGAAAGGCCAAATTGTGATTTGAAACGTATGGAAGCCCATTAATTTTTTTATGATAATTTAGTTTTCTTTCTAATATCTAGATAGAGCATTTTTGTTCTCTATATATAAACTATTTTATATATATATATATATGTGTGTGTGTGTGTGTGTTTGTGTGTGTACTCTGATTTAAATATTGATATGAATTAATTCATGTATTACATCAAGTTAACTCATAAAACTATAAAACTCAATAGTAATAAGTCTTGTATTTATTATAAATAGTCTTAGAAACTATTGTATTTATTAATATTTAACTCTTTCGTTACGTGTGTCGTCCATGACGGCATACAACGTGTTGGTCTTTGCTTCAAGAATTATCACTATGAGTTGTTCATGGACGACATTCATTTTACTACATGTGTCGTCCATAGACGACATACAGCGTGTCGGTCTTTGCTTCAGGAATCAACACTATGAGTCGCTCATGAACGACATTCACTCTACTACCTGTGTCGTCCATAGATGGCATGCAACGTGTCGGTCTTTGCTCGAAAATTTATCACTCTCAGTCTTCCATGGACAACATTCACTCTACTTCCTGTATCGTCCATGAACGACACACAAAGTGTCGGTCTTTGCTCCAAGGATCATCACCATGAGTCGTCCATGGACGACATTTACTCTACTAACTGTGTCGTCCATACAGGACATGCAGCTTGTCGGTCTATGCTTCAAAAATCAACACATTCATGGACGACAATCACTCTACTGCCTGTGTCGTCCATAGACGACATGCAGCGTGTTGGTCTTTGCTTCAAGAATCGACACTATGAGTCGTTTATGGACGACAATCACTCTACTATCCATCGAAGACATGCATGTCGCTCTTTGCTCGAAAATTGATTGTTATGAGTCGTCCATGGACGACATTGAATCTACTACTTGAGTCGTCCATACACTGGATACAGCGTGTCGGCCTTTGATTCAAGATTCCTGACTATGAGTTACCAAATTTATTGGTAATTCTAGTTTTTGTTTATTAGAAGCGCATTTTTAAATTTTTCAACAAATTTTTATTGATGATAGGAATATCTTAAAATATATTTTTTTTGAACACGTTGTTCCGTATAGCAGCGGCACTGCTGTGTATTTTTCACTCTCATAACGAAAGGGTTTAATTATTATTAAAAAATTGTAAGTGCTGGAAATATTTAATATATAAATTACGTGAATTATAAAATAATTATTAAGAAAGTTATATAATTAACTTATAAATTGTAAAAACATGATATGAAAATTAATTAAAAATTTCCATAGAAATTTACTCGAATTTTACTGAGTTAATTTTACTTATTGCTTATGGACGTGTGGAACATTAGAATAAATTTAAAATATTTCAGGAGGTTTTAAGTTGCATTTAGCATGTGCGAAAACTACAGTCAATATCAATATGTAAAATCATTTTTTAACTAATTTCATTTTTTTTTCTTTTCAGATCAATTTCTGCTCGGATTACCTCTATCTCAGCAATCTGCAACTAGAAGGACTCAAGTTGACCCTTTGCAGACCTCCAACGCTTTGTTATATCAATGTCCCCAGTGTTTTAGAAATTATAAGCATTATCCGAGTTGGTATCGACATCGAAAATACGAATGCGGAAAAGAAAAATTGTTTAAGTGCTCTCAATGTCCTGTTAGTTTTCACCAAAAGTCTAATTTGAAGACGCATATGACCATACATTATCGATAAGGAATAAAGGATGGATGAAAGATACTAAGATTATGATTGCTGTTTTAGATTTTATCAAAATGTACTGCTTTTATACCTACTCTTATGTTAAGTTGAAAATTGAACAAATCGATTGTTTATTATTTATTTAAAGATTAATTTTAATACAGATACACATAAGATGATCATACGACCGGGATATTTCGGATTTCTACTTTGCGTCCCGGATTAAGCTCTTTTGTCCTGGATTGTCTCCAAATTTTTAAAATTATAGGTTGAAATTAATATGACAAAACTATAATATATGAGACCTAAAAGCAAATAATAAATACACCTTCCTGAATACTAAAAAATAAAAATATTAAAAGGGTCATTTTGGATAACACTATATTTACAACTGTCCTATATAGACAATTAGTAAATCTTTTAGCGATTATAGATGAAAAATGACATTGATATATAAATATCGAAAAATACAAAGTGCGTTTTTTCTTTATGACAAGAAGAACCAAAGCTAAGACTATTTTATTATCTGAAGTTTGCAGATTGAAATTTTTGAAAATCACATTCTTCAAAGATTTCAATCTGTAAACTTGTTCTTGCCAATAATTATAAATAATCTGAAATTCGTCACAGTTATAGTTTTTATTTGAAGTTTAAAAAATTTGGTCTTGCCAGAATCAAATTTATTTTAATATGCAAGTTATAGAGTATGTAATTGCATTTGTTTCTTGAAACTTACAACATTTTTTTGAGATTCTTGTATAAAACATTTGAAAATTAATAATATTTAAACACATATTATTAATTGTTTTCTGATATTCGTCTAAGTTTGGTCATTGGTCTGAATTTAGATATAATTACAATATTATAAAAAATCAAACAATGAAAAAAATCCCAGTTTTTGTAGATATGTTTAGGGCCCAAAATTGGATCCCAAACTTGTCTATCATAGAATGGTGATAAATTCGCTAGTTTTTTAAATAATATGATACACATTTAAATATATCATTTTTAATTTAAAAAACTTATTCTTTTATATGATAAGATTTTTGTGATCATCTCAATTAAATTCGTTAAAGTATACCTTTTGTCCAATCAGAATCCTAACGATGTCAAGCCATTAAAAATTATATTTTAGTTATAAATATGAAGAATTCGACTCACTAAAATGATTAAATAAATGTAAATAAAATTAATGATATATATATATATATATATATAATTAGATATTATATATATATATATATAATCTATATATATTCTATATATACTCGTATATATATAAAAATAAGTACATAATATTAATACATAAAATAAAATATTACACCGATCTGTACATAAATAAAAATTAAATTTCTTATTTTTAGCTATTTTTTATATATTTTATGCAATTTAACATTTTTATATATGATTTTATAAACATTTTAGTTACATTTATAAAATTGGGCTAATATTGTTACAAGTGTATATATGTTATAAGCTTATTGAATTTATTTATAAAATAAACATATTAAATTTTATACAATATTTTTCTATATACAATCTTGTTTTAACTTAATATTTATTGTGAATAACTTACAGTAAACATAACTTAGTATCTACATATTCTTTTAAAATTAAATGTTGAATGTTTTAATTGATTTATTTATAATTGTGATAACTTATTTTCTAGGTTCAATAATAACACTACTAAGAATATTATAATGCCGCACGAGATTTTACTCAAGACTTTCTTTTCTTTTACTATTTTTCTAATATTTTTTTTGTATTTTTTCAGATATATCTTTTACTAAAAACTACCAGTCGCCCCCTGCAACTTCCAGATTTTATAATACTGTATTGAACACCTCAGATACACATAATATTAATGGAAAGTATACTACAAATGTCCAACTTGCCCCAAATATTACGAGGCCAAACCCAGCTGGTATCGTCATCGAAAACACGAATGTGGAGTCGAAAAAAAATTCTGCTGCAGCATGTGTCCTATGAGATTTCATCAAAAGTCGAATTTAAAAACTCACATGTTTTCTGTTCATTCACATAATTATAAATTGATTAATGGGCCGATTCTGCCGCAACAGACCAATGTTATGGCAAGCCATGTTACGCTCCAACTTCTATAAATTATGCTACTGAATTATACTGAATACTGTCAAAATGCTATGTATTCAGGCGTTTTACACATAAACTGCAAGGTCACTT